TTTTTTAATTAGTTAAATTGCCTTTTTGGTAATATACTTTGGAGGATATTTGTATAAGTAGTTTATACAATGTTGTGCAAAAATATGCATTTTTCTCTAGCATTTTTATTCTGATGAGTATCTATAACGTTGACCTAAATCTTATTTTCAAATTATCATTTTTAAAATAAAATTGGATGTTCATTTGATTGCGTTTCTGCAGCCTGGTATCAAGTTTCTTCTTGGTAAAAATCAATTAATACCATTGTGTCAATGATAATGACCTAAAATTTGACATTCTTGTCCAAAAGTGGTCCTATTTAGTTTCCTTTTTGATCAGGCTCTGACTTCTCTCATGTACTAGCTGCCTTATAATTAATTTTATTTTAGTTAGCTCATATCAAAAGTATCGACTGAGTATTTAATGTTGTTAACTTGTGAAATTGACTTTTTGGTGAACATTTTCATGCATTACGCACATAAATCATTTCAATTATGATTATATTGAAATTGATTAATTTTATTCTTTGCACCTTCTTGGTGAATCAGTTTTTTCATTACCATATGTTAGTGAAATATGCATTTTTATTTTAGTATATTTTAAGCTAATCAATCTATAACTTTGACTTGAATCTCATATATTTTTAAATTAGACTGCTTCATGCATTCTCCTAAAAAAAATCATTTTAATAATAGACTGTAGCACGTCAAATTGGCTTCTTGGTAAAAATTTTAAGCATTACGCAATTCAATCAATTCCATGTTGATTATTCTGATAATAACTTAATTTTTGTCATATGAACTTTTTTCGTCAATTTTAGTAATACAAATATACTTTGTAGGAGATGTTTCAGTTCAATATTATGCGTAAAATAGGTTTTCAGCTAGTATGTTTCATCATGATTTGTATTTTTTTTTTATTCACACTTTATATTTTCTTTCATTTACTTGAAGTAAATTTATTTTTTTATTACAATGTAGTAAATTTATTCTTCTAAATAGTAAGATTTAAATTGATCTGCTAGTAATTTAATTCGAAGCTATTCCATGTTTTTGTTTAGATATCATTTGTCTTCAATTACATAGTTGCATCAGGGTATAGTTCAATATTTTGTTATTTTAAATTTTTTAGAGTGCATGGAATTTTTTTTTATGAAATTATTACAAAGAGCGCTCCACTATTGTTAAAGGCATTATACATGATTACAGTAAAATAATTAATATGGAATTGATTGAATTGCTCAATTTGGATATGTATGATCATACAAAATTTAACTTTTTTTTTTATTAATTTTTATTAATTTAATGTAATATTTGCTGTACGAATTCATACATAAATATTCTATTGCATTTTTGCATATTTCTTGAGGTTGTGAGGTTTTTTGTTATAATAAGAAAACTGTCGGCGTTTGTTCATAATCATGGATGCTCTTGTTTATAAGATCATTTTTACTACTTCTTCTTACCATTTATACGTTTTACTTTATTTTTAAAATTAAGGATTCATGACACTACTAAGGTCTTCTTACAAGATTTTTTTATACTTTGCATTTCTTTATTGTTTTGGAAGTTTTTTCATTACCATGTCTTTTCGTATTTTATAATTAGTTGTTTTTCAATTTGGTACTTCTTTCTATGGTTTTTTCTATCCTAAGTAAAATTCAAAATATCTTTTACTATAATTATAGTTTGTTTAATATATCTTTTGAAGTAAATATTTGCACATTCAAGTTTTATTTAAATTATATTCGTGTATGATTATATCAATACGAAAATCTTTTGAACGCTTTGTAGAATGTCTTGCGCATCACTTTCATTTGGTTTAGTTTTATATACTTTCATAATAATACAA